CCAAATGGGGTCCTAGTGGGGCCTATTTGTTGCATGCAGCACACACTGTTATTTCCAGCATAGACTTCTGATGAAACTTTTGTGTTGAGAAGAACCAAATTCTTTCCTCCTTGGAGATAAACCATCATTTTAAATTCTCTTGATAGTGACTTTTCATTGTCAGCAAACTGACAAAACATGAAAAAAAGGTTTTTTAGGCAGTTTACTCTTTCTTTTCCCTTTATTGTGAAAGCAATTTAAAAACACAAGTTTTTGCTGCTAAATATTTTAGTAACTCTCATGCTCTATAATGCTTTTAGCAAACTTTTGCCAAGTTTCTCGCTATGATGATGCAAATTCAGAGCAAACCAGTATGTAACGATCCTGAAACAACTCTTGTCCTGGTTTCAGGATGATGGGGCTGGATATGTTGGGGGCAGTAGAATCTTGCCTGCCAGAGGGCGCTTTGCTCCTGCTGCACTGTCAGATTGCTCTTCCAGCCCTTGCATGGGGGAGACAGCGTGGAGGCTTTGGGATCTGTCATAATCACCAGGAAAATGAATTATTGGATACACTTGTGTTGTGTCATGTGGCATCCCAAAGAGTGGAGGTTTTGGGATTGCACCTTCTGCTCCTTGGCAGTGTTTTATGTGTTCTGGGCATTTTAGAGAGAGGCTTTGAGAATCAGGGTAGTTCAGACAACACAGTGAAAATGAAGTGTGGGGGAGAGCAGGGAAAAAACCCTCTTGGGGCTGTGCTGTGCAGGCCCAGGACTTGTGCTCTGTGAACATTGTAGGGCCCTCCAACTCAGGATAATCCATGATTCTCCAGGGTTTTAACCCCTCCAGACAGTGGCAGGACTGGCTGTGTGTGGGAAACGGTAGCAAAACGAAAAAGGAAACGTCTGAAAAGGGCTCACAGGGTGGGAAGCAGTGGGAACAGGGCCAGTGGGATGGGATGCACGGATGGATGTATGGATCTCAGGAACGGGCTGGTGGGATGGGATGCACGGATCCCAGGGAAGAACCAGGGGGATGGGATGCACGGATCCCAGGAACAGGCTGGTGGGATGGGGTGCACAGATGGGTGCACAGATCCCAGGAAAGGGCTGGTGGGATGCACGGATGGATGCGCGGATCCCAGGAATGGGCGGATGGGATGGGATGCACGGATGGATGGATGGATGCGCGGATCCCGGGAACGGGCTGGCAGGGTGGGATGGGATGGGATGCATGGACAGATGCGTGGATCCCAGGAACGGGCTGGTGGGATGGGATGGGATGCACGGATGGATGCGTGGATCCCAGGAACGGGCCAGTGTGATAGATGGATGGATGTGCGGATGGATGCATGGATCCCGGGAACGGGCCGGTGGGATGGGATCAGATGGGGTGCACGGACGGGGTGCACGGATGGATGCGCGGATCCCGGGAACGGGCTGGTGGGATGGGATGCACGGACGGGGTGCACGGATGGATGCGCGGATCCCGGGAACGGGCCGGTGGGATGGGATGGGATGCACGGATGGATGCGCGGATCGCGGAGGCGCCGCGCCCGGCCAGCCCGGCCTCTGCTGCCCCCTGCCGGCCCAGCTGCCGGCCGCTCCCCCGAGCCGCGCGGCTCGTGCCCCTCACAAAAGCTGCACAGACATACATGGAACCAGTGTGGGGACACGCGTCTGTCCCCAGGTTCCTACCTCGTGGGTTCCCCGATTAAGTCCAGCTCCTGCCACTCAGCCAGCAATGGCTGCCCAACACAACCAGGGCAGCCAGGACGGGTCCAGAGCTCTCTTTCCACTGAACAAGCCCTCCATCGTTTCACCTGGCACAGAGGTGTAAGCCCCTCATCCTTCCCTTCAGGCACATCACTGAACAGCTCACACTGCCATGCTGTGCCATGCCAGCTCCTGCTGGATACTCTCCTGCTGCCAGCTACAGGTGAATCACACGAGGCCAGGGTGGACACAAGCCAAAGCCAAACCTGGCTTTGCCTCGTGGCTGCTGTGGCAGTGCCCAGCACACAGGAACAGCCTTTCAGCAACCTTTGCGCGGGGCCCAGCCACACACAGCTGTGTTGTGTAGCCCTGGGCTATGAGCGGAGGGAATTCTGCAACAGTGCTAACAACCTTTATTAAAACAGACTTGGGAAATGAAGGCTGAGGTAACCCAAACACACGTTTGACAATGGGGGTGAAGCACAACAGGTGGAGCACTTCTATGTTTTCTATGTTGCTAACCTGCTTACCCCAGGGTCTGTTGCATATAGGTCTGTAAAGTGATTCATACACTGGATGTGTCCCTGCTAGAAAGAAAAAGCCACACAGGTTCCCAGAGCAGAACTAACCGTACTTGCCTGCATTTCTGAATTTTTTTCTTAGCTCATAATTTCTAGCTCATAAATCTTTGGGATTTTTTTTTTTTTTTTGCAATTTTCTTTGCTGGCAGCAACTTTCTTCAAATTCACATGGTTTCAGAGCTATCCCATCATTTGACAGTGTGTCATGGTGACATCCTTTCTCCTCCTTCTTCCATCCCTGCATGAAGCATGCTAAATCTGTCTTAACAAATCCTGCCCAAGCTGCCAATTCTGTCCAATGTTCCACTCTCCCTCTGCTGCTCTCCTTTGGACAGGACAGAAAAACAAGTCCTGGCACTGAAAATTTCAGTTTATCACTTCAGCAATTCTCTCTCTGCTTCTGTTTTTGCATCCACATGACAAGGGCACTGAGATGGACCACTTAGGCATATAAATTTTTCAGCTTAGATAGAGTCAAGGAAAATCATAAATCCAGGAAACAGCTTTTTAAAATAGTGTGGTTGTTGAGATTCTGAATTGATGTACCTAGGTTTTTATACATGTACATTTAGAGTCAATGCAGGTAGGCAGCATGACAGAGCAGAGCTTTCTAGGCAGGGAAGGAACAGTGGCCATCATGTGTGCCCTGCAAAAATGGCACACAAAAAACTTCTGGAGTCTTGCTTATAAGGCAGGTTAAATACTGCCTGGTATATGAATTCCATTTGGTTTTCTGCTTTGGTACAAATCTAATGTTCAAGAGGTTAGAGGTATAAATACTGAAAAAATAGGAGCAAGTATTTTGGGTGTTCAACTGAGGCTGTGTTTGCAATGAATTGATTTTACTTTTTTCTTTGATTGGCCTGGTCACATCACTTTCTTGTTGCCACCTTGCACTAGGGCAACTTGATTTTCCAGGGCAGTAATTTATTTTCAAGATTGCATCACTGTAATTTGAACTAGAATATATTCCTTTGCCATGCATTTCTATTGCTTCTCTTGTGTGCAACTCTTATTTCTCTGTAAATATTCCTTACCAGAGGGACAGACTTAGGTGTTGGCATGTTTCTGGTCAGGTTCTATACAGAGCAGTGCAAGTTCTGAGATAAGATACTTGATGATCCAAGTAATTTCCAAAGGATTATGTAAAACAATGAATGGAAAAATTTTAGATTTTCACTGTTACAGAGACTGTTTTTAACTGGTGAATACTGCATCAAAATACAGTCCAGATAGCTCATGGAGGCCATTTCAACCACAAAGAAAAATTAATATGCTTTAAAATTGTCCTTGAGTCCTTGTCACTTATCTTCATAATTCATATATTCATGACTCCTCCCTGATTTGGCAATAATTTAGTGTTGCTGCTTTACAAAATATTTTACCATTCCCTGCTGTTGTGAGGGGAACAACCCTGTACAGTTAATACTTTTAGATGGTGTACTTCTACTGAATGCCTGTTGTCTGCTTAGCCACCCCTCAACCTGCCAAATTCGTAGTGCATGAGAAGCAGTGCATGTCTGCACAGGCTCCATCAGGCAAAGCTGAGCTTCCCTGTGCTCTGAGTGACCAGCTGTGAACTAGAAGACTTCTGACAGCTTATTAGTTCAGGGCTGCACTGTGCTACTGAAGCTGTGTGACTTCTTATTCAGCTGGCTTGCCTTTAGCAAACTTGGAATGTGAGCAAAGCAAGCTCAGATATGTCTGCTCAGCCCAATCCACCCAGATCCACTGAGAGTGGGAATTACACAGCATCTAGCTTAGAAATGTCTGAAGTCTCAGTTGTGGAAATCCCCCTCAGCTGTCACCCAGTGAGACAGCAGCTCTGTTCCATGTAGCATTGTTGTTTCACCTGAACCAGGTTTGCCTGTGGCACAGTCTGAGTGAGAGCCAAAGTGTTTTCCTTTACCCAAACCACTGCAAGGCTCCATTTAGTGACTGTTTTTAGACCTACTGCTGCCCCTTGTTCCTTTCTCCCTGCCTTACAAAATATAGAGCATATTCCATTCTCTTCTTTTGAGGAAGGTTGAAACTTTTCGTACTTCCCAACAGATTGCTCAGGCAGCAGGATGAGCCAGGTGGATGGATAGATTCCACTTTGCCTGCTAATAACAAAAGTATTTCTGATTCTTTAACATCATGATTATTGCTCTACTGCTTCAGTTTTTCATCATGAGAAAAGAAGGGTTCCACCATCTGTTTCAGAAATTATGATGTATTTTGATAATAATCAATTCACAGATAAAATCCAGAAGCAGATTATAAATGATACTGGGATTGGATTCCTGGTTCTTCAAGAACAAAGCTTTTAAATTGAAGTTGTAAATGTGCCATTTCAAAATGTGACTACTGATGTGGTACAACAAATACAGCAGAGCAAGGCTTGGATTGTTGCAGCTCTTTGCATCACTTTGATGCATGCACTTTTGAGGAAAAAATTAAAGCTAGTACAGTATCATTTTTAGGTTTTTATAACACCTAACAAGCATTAATTCTATAGAGGTAATTTATTTTATATGAAACTATCAAATTCTAGTCTAGTCATAGTAAGTTCTAAATGGCAGTTACTTTAAACAACTAAGAGCCTACTCAGTTCAGATTTGGGTCCCATCCAGATTTGGGTCCCAGGGTATGGAAACTGGGACTCATGAAAAGATGCACTGCCCTCAGTCTGATACCATGTAAGAAAAGAAGCCCTTATTATGAGGCTCAATCCCTACTAAAAATAGGAAAATCTGTGAAAACACCTTTTATTTAAAGTTTTACAAACACCTTAGTTCACAAGTATGGTGTAAAAGCTTCATCCTTTGTGAAACAAAGTATATTTGTCACAAATTACCAAGTTTGTGGATTAACATCGAGTGCCTGCCTGCAAACATCTGCAACTCTTTTCCCATGAAACAGATGCAAAACATGTATTTTTGTATAAAAATTCACAGAAGCAGGAGAAAACTATTTCCAGCTCCATCTCTTACTGTTGATTTCAACAGAAAGTGAAGATATTTGGACTTTAAGTAGTAATTGTCAGTCTTCAGATGACATCTACTGCTTGGCCTCTGCTTCCATCTGAGTTTCTTGTGATTCCTCAGCTTCTGAAAGTTTTTCATCATCTAAAATTCAATATTACTGTTAGTCAAACTGTTGGTCATATATAAACTATATTGCAGAACTTTGTCCCACTTAAATATTTTATTATGATTGCTTTAAATGTGCAGCTGAGTATCTCATTCTAAAAAATGCTATGCTCAAACAAACAAAATAATCCTTCAGTTTTTAAGGATGTTATCTCTAACAGCTGTTACTGGAAATATGGGGTAAATTCTATAGTGTCAATTGAAGCAAATGGTACCAGATTGCTTCTAACCCCTTCTTTCTCTTTGTCTGCTAATGGTTTATTTATTTTATACTGAAGCTGCGATTTTCACTAAACTGCTACTTCCTTCACAAAACCCTGAAAAGTGATCTATATATTCACATGAAAATGCATTTTCAAGAGTAATACTTAAGCAAGTGTTATTAACACATAATAACAATAACCTTCTGCTAAAGTGCACCTAGGATCAACAGTTCATTCTGCTTAAGAAGATCTAGATGGCCTTAGAGAATGAAAGTCTGCTCTTAGAGCCATCTCTGCATTTAGTCAGGTCATGCTCAGAGGCTGTACCAATTGTTCTGTCTTCGAAAGACAGGGAAAATATACAGCAAATATTTAAAACAATATTACCCATATTAGAGCACAACAAGATAGTGCTGATTTGAAAATATTAAGTATTTGTATGAGAAAAGATGAGTACAAGTAATTCCTGAATTTAGCTCTCATGTCTGACAGTTTTAGTCCCTGCTCTGTCACAGATTCAGTCTGAGTAGGTTGGCATTTGCCTTCCTTTTATTTCAATTTCTTTTCAGTAAAGCCTCAAATGATACCATGGTAGTAGTGACATGTTCAAAACTACTGAAATAGGAATTATAAAATGAAATTTGGAAATCAGCACAAGAATAACTCTCTGTAAGAAATACTTTCTGTTAAAAAAACAAACAAAAAAACCCAACAAAAAAACCCAAAACTCAATGGCTATTCTCCATCCTCAGGTTTTAAAGAGTTCTGTTGCCTACAAATTAACCTGAAGCTAGTCAGGAAATGGCACAGTGGGTAGCTTGTAGAGGACAAAAAACTCAGAGCAGTCTCAGGCTCTGGACTACTACTGGGAAAAAATTCTGCCAATGCAAGAGGTCACCAGCCTCAATTGCACAGAGCCATCCCCCTGCTGGAAGTTGTGATTCCTTTTGATCTGCTAAAACACAACCCAGTTATATCTATTAGCAAAGAACAGCACTTACTCTCCAGGGTTTGCTGAAGTTCATGGATGGTGCTCAGGAGAACATGGAACTGCTTCCTTCTCAGCTCCAACTGGAATGATAAAATACATGTTGTAGGAAACAGAGAGCACATACAGCCAAACAACCCATAGCAGACTCTACATTAATTGTATTTCTAATAAATTATTATATAACCATCTCTATGAAAAACTTACCTTATCTTCAACATTTTCTTTAATGTGAGAAAGGTTTTGCAGTTCTTTTCCCAAAGCTTCCAGCTGCCTGAAAAAAGATATTCAGAGTATTCTTAAAAAATTCTGTAAAATTCTTGCAAAACAGATTTGCTCTAAGTAGAGGAGAAAGAACTCTAAAATATACTGTTTATGTAAACAAAACAAGTGGAATGATTTAGAGGTAAGGTCACTTCATGTAATTTTAAACTATTATGTTCTCAACTTGTAATTTCACGATATTTACAAAAAATTAGACCTCCAAGCTGGAATACAGCTGTAGCCTGGGCATTTGTAACAATTCAGTCCTGACACAACATGTTATTTATTTGACTCTACAATACAAGTCAAAGAAGCAGATTAATAGAATCTTAGAACATCCTGAGCCAGAACAGACTCACAAGGAACATCAACTCCAATTCCTGGTCCTGCACAGGATACCCCAAGAGTCATGCCCTGTGCCTGAGAGCATTGTCCAAGTGCTCCCTGAACTCTGTCAGGATTGCTGCTGTGACCACTTCCCTGGGAGCCTGTTCAGTGCCCAAACACAGTTTGGGAGAAGAACTTTCTGCTCTCACCTGAGCTCACCATGGACCAACCCTTTTTGAGGCCAAGAACAGCAGGTACCATAATATACCTTTCAAATGAGAATGGAGCACCAACTCTTACAGCCAAACCCCCAGTTTGGTACTTCTAATGCCTATCATAATTTATGCACCATGCAATTACAGCAAAATGCTCATTTAAAGGTGAAGTGGATTGAGGCTGATCATCCCTGATTAATTAGCAGGCAAAGTCATAGAGGGGTCAGCAAGGAAATCAACCTTTTTTTCCTGATGCCATTGACAGCTGCTCTACTAGTCTGAGAAGGGAATCACAAAAAGCCCTCCAGTCCTAAGTACCCCATTGTGGATGGGAAAAGGTTATTTTAGTGCTACCTGAGGGTGTTGTCTTTTTTTGAGCCAGCATGCTTGGTACCTCAATGGGAATACCTGAGAGAGTTGTGTGTGACATTACCCCTCTCTTCAGCTTACAGGCTCATACACTGATTCTGGAAGCATTTGGTTTCTAGTTTCTGAAAAACTTCTATTTGCCCAAATCTTGATGTTTACACTGTGCTGTCAGGTGAAAGCAGACTGTGAGAGGACAGACTTCTTTTTTTTTCCTACTAACATCCAAGCTACATCTGGAATTTTACTCCTTCTGCTTTACATTCCAGAGAATCTTTGCTTAGCCTTCTTACCTTCATATCTCTTTTTGTAAGACTGTGTCATTTCTTGGTTCTCTGAACAGCTCTTCTGATACAGCATCTAATTACACTGTGGGCAGTGTTGTTCAGTACTTCTGCTCCTATCACTTCCTGAATTGGCTCCTGTGCACTACTTGTGACTAAGCTGTTAACAGCTTCTTTTGTGCTGTATGACTCCTTGTTCCAAGAAATAGACTCTTAAAAGCACAAAGAAAGTATTTTTCTAAACTTTGTCCTATTGTGCCAGATAACCTGCAAAAGCTGTAAATGTAACTCTTGCAAGAAACCCTTCTGTTTCTTCTCACAAGAAGTTTTCTCAAGTGTTTTTAGTGATTCAGAGTTCCATGAAAAGTGTGACATTGTTAGTGAGGCTTCCTCTGTTCTGAATTAAGGGTGGCCTTTGGTTCATTGTATCATGTTCTGTGTACTTTCCTACAGACTGCATCCTTACCAGCTATAACTCACCACTCTTTCTAGCTTTCCTTAAGAAACTTATGCTTGGATGTGTTAAGCAAACTTAGAATAATCCCTCCAAACCTAAACAATCCAGCATCCTCTAAGATAAAAAAGTATCATTTATCACAGAATTATAGAATAGTTTGGGTTGGAAAGGACCATAAAGATCATCTAGTTCACACCCCCTGCCATGGGGAGGGACATCTTTCACTGCTCAGAACTCCATCTAAACTGGCCTTGAACATTTCCAGGGATGGAGCAGTCACAGCTTCTCTCATTTAGTTATTTCTATTCTTAATTAACTTATCTGAGAAACTGCATTTTTGGTGGTTCTTTATTAAAGCCTCACTTGATAAATGTCATATGCTGACTAATGAAGTAAGAAGTAGCCAAGCCTCATGAGAATTGCCTGTAATAATCAAAGTTGGGGTAATGAAATCAAGGCACAGAAAAACAACATACAAGAAAGAAATGTGTGAAATATTGTCAGTGGCTTATAGCTATAAAAATGCTACTGTTAGGGCAATAGTATAACCAAATCACTTCCATTCGCTATGAAAGGCTATGGAATATGAAAAGACAGCCTCCCCTGGCAAAGTGGGAAGAGGAAAAGTGCACAGCTGCACTTACATGGGAACAGTAATTCCACACCACCTCTTTAATCAGTTTTAGAACAACAAACTCATAGATGCAATAAATCCTGGAATGTTTGTGTGGCTCAGTAATCTCCCCACAACTGCCCCAAAAGCACAGACAGTGATGCAAACCCAGAATGTGACAAGCAGCACTGTGAGTTACACACAGGACGAGTTGGACAACAGGTAGGTCTGCCCTGCATGCCAGGGCAGGTTATGTGTGGCAAACCCAGAGCCATTTATAACTGGGCATGCAGGAATAACAACCAGAAGGAAAACATAAAAAAGAACACCAGGAGCTTTCTCCTGCTCTCTCTCATTCCACCTTACTTGCTTGTGTGTTATGCATTTTGAGTGACTGCTGAATCTGGCTGGTGTAAGTTAAAGGACTTCCCACCATCTCCCTTTTCTGAGATGTGCATTTACATCTCAGTTCACTTATTCACCTTAATTTTTCAGTGGAAAAATTTCAACTACAGAACAATTAGCAGTGCTTCTGACCAATATAGATGGGACATTAAGGAAAGCTCATAAAGACACAGAAACACAAGTTTTTATTGTGTCAAAGAAATTATATAAACATGAGAAAAAGTCAAACTGAATCAAGGAAATGTCAAGTCTGGTGACATCTAGTTTACTGCTATATTATAATTTAATGTAGTTTTATACTTACTTCAGTGTTTCATGTCTGTCTGGGTGATGCTGTATGACTTTGGCCAATGCATCATATTCTGAAAGACATTTAAACAGTTGATGTAAATACTTCTGAAAATATGGATTCAAGAACCCAAACTCAGGTATCACAGAATGGCAGATTCTTTTTCCTTGAAAAACTGTTTTAATGTTTTTCAAAACACCTTAAGATAGCTCTGCATTGCTGCACACTTAGTCTTCTGTGTCTGATTCATAAACATTGGGTTTAGATACAATCAAATGTATATGTACAGAAAATGGTGCTGATGTTACACACTAACATTAAAGATTTTTAGAAAAATATTTAGTATAAAATTTACTATAAAATGCGGCATGGATTTTTTTTTAAAAATTATTACACATGAAGAATAATATTATGGTTATACAGGCAACTAATACAGCCATTTCTTGATAGGAAGACCATACAGATGACAACTACTTCATTCACCTGAAAAAATTTGTGCTGCAGACAGGACAGAACATATTAAAAAGCAAACACTTCAGACCTATGTTCGTGAAGTTGTAAGAACTCCATATTCCTACTGGTTAAGGTTATTTTAATTTCCAGTTGAGTTCAAAATTAACCATAGCATTGATCAAACAGCTGTATTTAAAAGCTTTCATGTTGTATTTCTGAAATTTTTGGCATTTCACTTATCATGAAAAAACAATTTTTTGCTTCTAATCAACTGCTCATCTTTTAGAGTGTTGTAGGTTTCAATGATTTATGGGTATACAATTTTAAAAGTAGGGAAAAAATACACCTCTTCAAACAGGTGTTCAGAAAGGACACTCTTTTAGGTTTTCCTGATGCTGCATGTCATTGAGATCAGGTTCAATCTTGCCTGTGTCATCCACCCAAAACATTCAGTAGTCAGTGGAACCCACCAGGCTGAATATAGTAATCATGATGCCTTGCATGTTCAAAAATTTAGAATCTATTTTCCAATACAATGTATTCTAAAAGATAACAAACCAATGAAGTTCACCACTGTAAATACAGATATGGCACCTTACCCTGGCGATTTTTTCGAATCCTTTTTGCTTGCAGGATTTGTTTTTTGCATTCAGAGATCTTCTCATGGGCTGCAGCTATACTATTTTCTTTAGGGAAAAAAAAAAAAAGAAAGATAAAGAGTTATATTGAATTCAAACAATACATGTAAATAAGCTATTCTGATAAACTATAAAAGAGCTGTTTGTGACATAGTGGCCTGTAGCTCCATCAGCTTAAAAACTATATGCACATCAATAGGTTTAAAAAGCTTTTGTTTGTATGTATTCTATGTAATTACAAGATGCTTATAGCACATATGAGTGCTATCTAGTAAGAAAAAAAAACAAACTCAAAAAACCTCCAAACCACTCATTAGATGTATATATTATGTTCACCAGGCTTAAGCTTGTTCAGAAGAGAAACTGTCAAACAGAAACCATTAATGTTTTCTCGTATTTACCTATATCCTTGTAGATTTTTTCGTAATTTTCCATCTCTCTCAGGTTCATGTCATACACCAGAAGAGTCTTTCCCATTGAAAATTCACACTGTGATAAAGTACTCAGCATTCGTTGGTACTGGCTGTATCTGAAAACAGACAAGACATTTACTCTCAAGCAGCATAAAAATAGTTCCTAACTTCACAGAGCAAGAAAACAAAACTTCTGTAGCATAAAGGATGGCTGAATAACAATCATTCAATAAAGAAAACACTTCAAAGATTCAGTGTATAATTTTTGGAAGTGCAGTTAGAAACACTGTACACATTAATTCCAGCATCATGTCCTTATCAGTATAAAGTTAAAGCAGTGAGCAGTTTGACCCAGAGCTTATAAATCTTCCAGCTCGGGTTGGTTCTGTGGCCACCAAATTAGTCTTTTAATACTGCAGTGCTTCTCTGTCTACACACTGGTAATATTGTGATCTCTGGGAATTTCTAGAATTTCTATCCATTACTAACAGAGACCCCACAGAAGGCTGTCACTCGTACCTTACTAATTTAGACATAAAAAAAAAAAAAAAAAAAAAAAAGAGAGAGAGAGAAAACGACAGCAGCAGAAATACCAGCAGTATTTCCCTTCCCTAACAGAACAAACGCAGAACTGCCAACTAAAATATCCGAGTCATGATCCTGTTATAAGAGCGGGACTCCCGGCTGGCTCACGCAGCAGGCACAGCAATCCTGCGGGCACTGGAGCGGTGCTGGCAGATTTCAGGACACAGCCCGCAGCCCTTAGCGATTCCTGACCCGTCTGCAGCCCTCCTATCCCAGCACAGACCTCGGCGTTTGTCCTGCAAACACCACAGAGCCAAAGAAAAGCAGCTGTGCGCATTTTAACGCGGATCTCTTCCAAATGGATCGAGCCCTGCTTTCCACTGAGACGCAAGCTAAGCAGTTCCAAGACTTAAAAAACCAAAGCAAAACAACAGATACCCTTCCTCCTGAGATCCGGAATTACACCACTTAATGAAACTCTTCACCAACAAATTGATCCGCCTGTCGTCGCCAGCTCCATCGCCATCGATCAGCAGCCGCTTGCGGATAACTTCATCTGGGGAAAAACTCCCGTTAAGCCCTCACGCCATGGCCGCCGCCTCCCGGCGCCGCGCCCGGGGCTCTCCGGGCCCTTCAGGGAGCGATTCCCGGAGCCAGAGCGGGCGGATCCGCTGAGCCGCGGGGCCGGGGGAGCATGGAGGGCCGCGGGGCCGGGGCCGCGATGGAGGCCCGTCTGCGGGGTGAGCGGCCCCGGGCGCCGCGGCAGCCGCTCCCCGGAGGGCGGGCGGGGGGCGCGGCGCTGCGGGGAGCCCCGGCGGGGGTCGCGGCGTGGGGCGGGAGGAAGGAGAGGAGGATGGAGAAAGGGAGGGAGGGAGGTCTCACCGTCGGTCACGGCCCCCATGGCGGCGAGTGCCGGAGCCGGCGGGGCGGCGGCAGCAGCGAGTGAGGTCAGCTTCCCACAATGCAGCCGGCGAGAGCGGCGGCCATGGAGGGGGAGGCGGCGGCTGCTGGGGCCTGAGCCGGCGGGCGGCGGACGCGCGGCCCGGGGAGGGCGGGCGGGCGAGCCCCGCGCCCCGCGTGGAACCGGCCCCCTGGCGAGGGGCGGCCCCGCCAGGTGAGCGCCCGACGGGGGAGGGAAGCGGCGGTCCCGCAGCCAGGCTCCACCTCCCCGCCCCCGCCACCCGCACCGGCCCCGCCGCCCCCCGCCCGGCCGCCCCGCCATGCCCCCGGCACATGGTCCCGCGCCATCGAGGCCGCCGGGGTCGGGGGCGCCTCGCCTGCCCTCCCGCCACGGCCCCGGCTCGGGGTGTCCTCCCCGGGGTGCCGTCACCATCGCTCTCGGTGGTGCCGAGCTCCCCTCGCAGGGTCCCGCATGGCAGCGGCGGTGCCGTCGCACCGGCGGCGATGGTGGCGATGGCACAGGGGAGCGGGCGGACGGTCCCGCCGCGCTGGCCATGACCCAGCGGGCAGGCGGATGGTCCCGTCTCGGTGCCCGGTGTCATTGACATGGCACTGTGAGGGCGGTGGGGTCCCCTGTGGTGGCTGTCCAGCCCCTGTGGGTGATGGAGAGGGAGCACTGCTTCCACAATGCCTTTTCCCGATGAGGGTGTGGAGGACGTGCCCATGGTGCAGGTGTCAGGGAGCTGGGCTCGCCTCCCCTGGCTGCCCTTGGGCTCATCCCCACTCGATGCTCGGAGGACAAGCAGCAGGGCCTGGGGTGTGCCAAAAATTATTCTGATGTTTCCTGGTGAGTTTGACATGATCAGCAGATAGGAACGATAGTTGTTTCTTCCTGTCCTGGCAAACTAAGCTGGTGCTGGAAAACGTGGCTAGAGGCGTCTGGAGAAAAGAGATATTAAGGTGTTACCATGTGTTCAATTTGAGGCCTTTGGTCCATAGGCTTGGATGCTTGGGCAGTGCTGGTAATGTTACTGCAGTGTATATCACAGTAGATGAGGCGTTGCCAGAGCCTGACACCTTTCTGTTCCCTCTTCATTTTGGCTTGGACAGTTAAGTGGCTCACTGCCTTGTTCTGCTTAGCACTATTCATTGACATTTTTAGGGTGGTGGGGAAAATCAGGGTGAGAAAAGAACGAAGTTAATATATGCTGTAATCTGTTAGTTCCTGGGTTTAGAACTGTGAGAGATTAAAAGGCGCTTTCTTGTTCTGGATGGAGGCATTTAACAGCTCTTTACGGATTTGTAGATTGCTTCAAGTCGGTTCTTTGTCTTCAATAGGCAACTGATCAGGCCCTTTGGAAGGTGCTGGTGGGGAAGCATTACTGGGAGTGGTCATTAAAACTCCGCCAGAACTTTTAGGAATAAAGAGGAATAAAGTGTTTCCAACATGGGAAACTTGGATAAGTGGCTTCTGTTCTTGAAGTTTTATGTACTCTTGGTGGGTGATAGCATTTTATATGAAAAACTAACGACCTATCCAGTTACCCAGGTTTGGGCCAAAGAATGGGCCATGCATTCATGAACTGTGTACGCTGTACTGAAGGTGCTCACTTTTGTGAACTCTGATATGTTCCATTTAGTTGGTTTGACTAAAATCTTTGTTTTTCTTAAGGCTTTGGTCACTATGGTACAGCCTAGTATTTTGGTAAAGGGTGAGGAGAAGACCTAGCTGAACTTCTCTATGCAAATTTTGTACAGTTACTGCCTTTCCTCTTTATCCACTTACTTCCTTTTGGAAGTCTTAAGCATTTTGAAACATCCATTTAATCAAGACTTAATATTTTTCTTACACCTCTCTGAGCTCTTTCCATTTTCTGAGCCCTGTCACACAGAGAAGTTGGTCAGAACTGAAGACTATTGTCAGTGAAAATCCACAATTATTTATTTAATTATCTCAGAACTTCTGTAATGTTCTGTCATTTAATCCAATACAATCTTTTCTCACTTTTTGTTCATCATTCCACTCTTGGTCAGATAGTCTTATTAAGGTCTCCGGAATGACAAATAGATAGTCCTTGAGTAATTAATTTAGAATACAGCAGCACATATGACTATTTTATTATATTTAATGACTTTTGTTCCATTCTTCATGTGTTGCTAATTACGAGCTTCTATGAAATTTTTTGTTCTGGGTCTTAAGCTCATAAGAACAACTTTGAGAACAGAGCCATTATTTTTCTTTTTAAGACAGAGCTTTCAGGCATCACCAATGTTCATTAACTTTTCTCCTTTGGAATGCAAGTAGAACTTGGTAAAAACATCGTCAAGAATCTCACTAAGGGTAGGCATTGATGCAACTGCCTGTTCTCTCTCCTGCTCCATTTTAATATATTAAATATCCATGGGATGTTTTTGCTTGGGAAGCCAGTTCCAGTTTGCTGGGTTCCTATATTCATTTGAGAATTCATTGTGTCTTAGGAGTTTTTGTTTTGCTTTGCTCCATTTTCAAGTAGAATTCCTCATCTTTAAGTGTGAAACAACCCTCATTTCTCGTGTGTGGAGGGTGTTGCACTGGGCTGTATACCCAAAGCCGTGTCTTTCCCATTAATTCAGTGTGATGGATGGTGTAGATGTCTGGAACGGGATTGACTTACTCTTATTTATTTGTCCTTCACCCTTTGGGTACCCTGTGCAGATTCTATCAGCTGCAGTCTTTCATATAATCCTTCAACTGACCAGCAGGAGCACTGAGTAGCTCTGGACCTTCCCTAAAGCATCAGAAGTGGAGATTCACACAATAGGAAAAAGTTCTTGCACAGGGGATAGCACCTGACTGTGCCAGCTCTTTTGGAACAAGTACCTGTGTGTGCTTTCACACAGTTTTCCCTCTTTCCTTGAATTCTTTTATGTGTGCCATATGGTAAGACCCTGGAGCAGCTTATACATAAGAATTTGTTGCACATCTGTCCTTGTCAAAAGTGTTAAATAATCCTCTGTAATGTTTCCAGGTGACTCTGGATGCAAGAGGGATAACCTAGGTAAGTTTAGTACTGCAAGATGTTACACGTGTGTGCAACTGGCTTTGATTTTTCATATGTATACTTTTTTTTTCCTGAAAATATGGCTTTTAAGTGCACTGATGGTTTTTTATTGAGGGAATCTGTTAGTGCTGAAGTTTTCTTTCCTGAGAAACAATCTATGAGAGCAAAAGTTTAAAGTGACTGTATTCCTCCTCCCTTTTTCTTTAACTCTGTGTGTATATGATTTTTTTCCCAACCACACAAAAAGTTGAAGGGGAAGAAGCTTTTTATAGTATTGCAGGCTATAATGAGCTATGATTTTTAAGAGCTAAGAAAACAGCTTTTAACTATTGACAAGGTGGATTTAAAATATTTTTCTTTAGCCTCCCTAATAATTTATGAAGTGGTTTTAGATTCCAGGTTTTCTTCATGTTGACTAACTTCTAAATCAGACTTTTGTGTAGCACTAAATCTTACAGAGATCTAAGTATAGTAGGTCAGAAACTGCAGGGTATTTTTATCCAGTCCAACCTATATTCTTGTCAGAAAGCCATACCAAATTTATTTAGTGAGACCTATTTTCTGTGAGTCTATGTTTAGCATTACTTTTTACCACCATCCTTTATCTTTCTGTTGATTATATACCAGGATTCTGTGCGAGACTGATACCAAGCTAACCTATCAGACTGCTTTTCTCATTTTAAATTATGTTAGAGCTTTATTTTCTCTGCAGTCTTTTGTAGCCTCAGCATTTACTGAAAATTAGCATCAGTGTTCCAAGAGCTTGTCATCTTGTTCTGTAAAAATTCTAAGACACTGGCTGTGTAATTCTGCAGATATTAAAATAGTCACTCTTGGCAGATAAACCTGAAATCTTTCAACCCAGTGACTGAGGTATAAAAAGTAGTGAGTGGTTCTTAGCTTTGTAGAAAGCTTTGCTGACATGGACCCTTGTGTTTCTGCAGAGCCAGCCCAGAATGGGAGAAGGGAGGGTGAAAATACTTGTTGTGACTGTAGTGATAGTACCAATAATTTTAAAATGCAACATTTTATAATCTGAACAATAATCAATTTTGCTGTCTAGTGCCTGTGTTACCAAGATTGATTAAATGTACTGTTAATCCCATACTTTAAAAGCCAGGCTCCTATCAGATAATAGTGTAACCACAAGTTGTGGTCTACAGTATTGGTTTTCATTGTTATTTTTTATTTTGTAACTGGAAGAGGCCTGTAAAATTCCAGAAGTTTTGATGGAAACACGTTGCAAAATATTAGTCCTGGAAATATTTTGTTAATTAGAAAGACATTTTATGACTACTACTTTTCTCCTGAAGGGAGAAAAGCTTATTTTAGTAAAAAAAAAAAAAAAAATAGTACTGCATGGTCCTTTGAAATATTTATTCCTAAGTAAGGGCTCTGTGTCTTAGTTAATCTCAATTACACAGGTGGCATTCTGATATTGTCCTCTCTCAGCTATCTTCACAGGAATTATGCAACAGCTTTCCAAATTTCATATCCACATCCTACTGAATATTTATGAAGCTTGAGGATCAATTATTGTACATTTCAGGATGATCTGTGACTAATTTATTAAAGCTTGTCAAACTCAGCTTCAAATTTCTTGATACTGAAGTGTAGGTATTGAGTGTAGGAGCCAGAGCTCTCAGGTGCAGGGGTGCCAAGGAAAGTGTGCCCTGTGTGTGTGCCCAAAGGGGCTCTGGTGGAGGAGTGGGATTAGCAGGAGTGGTGCCCTGGGCCATGATACCCATTCCCAGGGACTGGGTAGATCCCCACTTAGCAACAAAGTCAAGTTGTTTTAACAAGTGTCTCGAGAAACTCTATGTCACTGCAGGACAGATAAGCTGGTTAGAATGTTCTTGTCATTTAAAAATCATTAACACTGTAGACTGCCTGTGCAGTGGCTCAGAGATCCCACATGATGTCTGCATTCTGGGATTTAAAGTGACTCAGGTAATTTTGGGGTGGCATTTCATGCTGTTCTGTGATTCTGTTTCACGTGTTTTGTAAGAAAGCAGACTTTATTATTTTGGAGGCTTTTTTCAGAAGATTAGTCAATTTTCTAGCATTCTCTTCTTGGTAGGATGTTTTT